CGTCGACACAATTCTCCCACCTTGGATGAACGTAGTCAACGGCAAGTGGCTCTTCAAGGTGAAGCGCCCTCTTGGAGAGCCACCGGTATTCAAGGCGCGCTACGTAGCTAGAGGCTTCAATCAGCGCGAAGGTGTTCACTTCTCTCAGACCTTCGCCCCGACCCCGAAGATGACTAGTCTTTCGACGCTGCTACACGTAGCAGCACAGCGTGACTACGAGCTGCACTCTCTTGACTTCTCGACAGCATTTCTTCAGGGCAATCTACACGAGCAAGTCTACCTACGTTGCCCACCATGCTTTACTGGCACCTTTGCCCCAGGGACCCAGTGGCTCCTCGTGCGCCCAGTTTACGCCTTGCGTCAGGTGCCGCGCAAGTGGCACGACACGTTGCGTGCTACGTTAGCTGACCTGCAGTTCTTCCCGTCGTCTGCAGACCCTTCGCTCTTCGTTCCTGCTAGCCATACCCCATTCTACATCCTTGTTTACGTAGATGACCTTGTCTTAGCTACAGCAGACTGAGACGCACTAGCCTCGGTGAAGGTTGAGCTGCTGAGGAGACACACCTGCACTGACTGGGAGAGCTGCGCCGCTACCTTGGCCTGCAGATCTTCAGATTAGCGCGCACTATCACTCTCACACAGTCACACTTGGTGCGTCAGGTCCTTCAGAGGTTCGGCCTTCTGTTCTCCTCTGCACAGCCCACACCTCTACCAGTAGATCACATGCTCTCGGCTCTAGTCCCTGAGGAGTCTGTAGAGCCTAGTGGTCCTTATGCAGAGCTGGTGGGTTGCCTCATGTACCTGATGACTTGCACTCGTCCAGATCTCGCATACCCTCTCAACATCCTGGCTCGCTTTGTGGCCACAGGCATATACCAACCGCAGCACTGGTCGGTCGCTAAGAGGGTTTTGCGTTATCTAGCAAGTACATCGGGCATGGGGCTAGTGCTAGTAGGACACAGGCCAGTGGTCCTTATAAGGCACACAAACACTTCATGGGCAGACGATGCTGAGACACTCAGGTCCTCCCAGGGCTATTGCTTTAGCCTTGGTGCAGGCGATGTCTCGTGGCGGTCCACTCATTCGTCGTCTGTTGCCCAGTCTAGCTGTGAGGGTGAGATCTACGCCGGTGCCATGGCAGCACAGGAGCTCCACTGGCTGACCTTCTTGCTCATAGACTTAGGTGATCGGCCTAGCTCTGCCCCAGTCCTGTATGCTGTTAACAGGGCCATGATCCTCCTGTGTCAAGAGCCTTGACTGGAGGGCAGAGCAAAGCACATCCAACTATGGTTCTTTCTCCTACGCGAGCTGCAGCAGCGCCGCCAGGTCCGTGTAGTATACTTGGCCTCAGGTGCCAACACAATTGATAGCTTTACGAAGACGCTTGCGCCTAAAGATCATCAGTGGCACTGTGTACATCTTGGTCTGGTTCCTGTAGCTTCTCACTTGGTAGGACCTTGATTGTGTACTACTTTTATGTTATCTTGACTGGCCTTATGGCCCTTGTCCCAGTGGCTGAACTAGTAGTACCGGTCTGGATTGCTCTTGGTTAGTTTGTCCTCTTGCTGACTGGTCTTCGGACCCCTGCCTCAGAGGTTGGACTAGTAGTGGCGCCCTGATTTGTGTGTCTCTTGCCAGGCACTGCCCCTCATCTAGTCTAGGGGGTGTGTCAAACATATTTTGTACATGTCTTATAGGCTAGATAGGTGCGTACTCTTAGAGCGTACAACACCTTAGACAAAACCAACCTATTTGCATCATTCTAGTCAATCACTATCATTCTGATAGTGTGTGCATGTTAAGGCCTGCGTGCGGTGATTGTGAGCGTGCAAGTTGCCTCTGAAGCTTCAATGTTGTTATGTACTGACTCTGAAATTTGTGTTTTAATTCCTTACATCCATGATTTCATTATAAGCGCATTGAAGTACTATACAAAATCCTGTGAATAACGAAACTTCCACATCGAAATTTTGTGCCAAGCCTCGTGCACCCCTCCCAAGTACCTCGTTAGCCAAATTCATGTTTTTCCCAATCAGTATGTTTGCTGTGATTGGTCCATATCCTGCCATCCCAACTTGGTTGTGCTGGCGAAACTTTCACTATATATTCCGCGCAATATTGTCAACTTATACATATTTGCATATGTATAGTTATAGGCTAGAAGGGCTCATGCTCTGTCGAGTATACTTTAACACTCCCCTTCATTCCTGAGTGTATGTCTCAGGATAGGTGTCACCGCGTTTGCATATTCCAACCAGGTTGGAGTAGTAGTGAAACTTGCCGCGTGGGAGTGTCTTCGTCAGAAAATCAGCTGCCAATACTTCTGTAGGGCACTATTTCAAGATGACCTTCCCTTTGTGAATATCGTCCTTGACGAAAAAGTAACGGAGGGCGATATGTTTTGTCCTTTTGACGAAGCCAGGCTTGTTTGCAATCTTGATTGCGCTCTGATTGTTGGGGTCGGCAACGTGATCCGCATCAACGAATCCAGTCAGTCGAAAATTTGCTGCAGTGTCTGTCGTATAGCTGATGCCAATTGTAGGAGTACAAATGAAATATTGGAGGGCTCGACGAAGATCGGCCATGTTCTCCCCTTCAGGTCGGCGCAGGTACTGTGCGAGCTAACTCGTGATGTAGGCAAGTTTTGGGCGGCATTTAACGACTGCAAATAGAAGACACCCGAGTTGCTGCTCGTGGTAAAGCTGATGCTCTGAGGCGGTAAGTGATGGAGCGGTGATCCAATTATCATTTGTGCGTGATCGGCCGAAATGTAATGAAATGGAGTGGTGAGGCAAATAGGTGCGATGGCGAACTTATTCACAAATATTTCTGTGTACTTGCTTGCATAAAGGTAGATGGCATCGAGGCCGTAGTCGACGTTTAGCCCAAGAAATTGGGTGACGTTTGGAGAAATACTTACTTCAAGAATCGTTTGGGTTCTTTTCTCCATGCGCGCTAGAAGTCTGTTGCACGAGCCGGTGTACTGTATATTGTTGACGTAGGCGACTAGGAGAATGTAATTTCCCCAAAATTCGAGTCGGTACATTCCAGGATCGTGGGGCAGCTACACGAAGTCGAGTGAAATCAGCACTTTGTGAAGATGCTGTTGCCACAGGCAAGGAGCCTTTGATGCCGTAGAGTGATTCAAGTAACTTGCGGATGTGGAGTCTGTCGCCGTCAGTGTGAGGGAGTTCGACGAAAATATTTGCATCGACGTCTGCGTATAAAAATGCATTTTTAACCTCCAGTTGGCGAAGTGGAAGGTGGCGGCTGTCTGCAATGGCGAGGCATAATTCAAACCGGGGTATAACGGCTGACCAGAACGAAAGTCTGGTCGTAATCGATGCTGTGGGTTTGTTTGAAACCTCGAACAACCCCTCTCCCCTTGAATCTGTCTCGTTCGCCTGCAGCATTTGTCTTTATGCGAAAGAATTTTCTTGCCGCGTACTGCTTTGCGTGGAACGAGTTTCCACGTTTTCCGCTTCTTGAGAGCTGCTACCTCTGCATCCATAGCTGCTTGCCACTTGTCAGCATCAGAGCCGGAGAGGGCCGGCTTGACTGTTTTCAGGTCAATCCCGGTCGTTGGTTGCTGAACTGTGACAGCAAGTCCGAGGATCTTAACAGCCGATTGGTCACCACGAGGATGAGATTGGCAAACTTCGATGACGTTATCATCGTCAATTTCGGATGGTAGATGGCAGGCACTGTTATGTGATGCTGCATCAGTTTTCTGTCGCACTGGTGCTTCTCATAACTATAGGCAGCCTATGTTGTGGCAGGACGCAACGGGTCTGAGAGGGGAATGAACAGCGGTGTTTCGGTTGGCCGAGGCTGCTTGGTAACTTGTTGCCGTCCACCATCGTTGCAGAGAATACTGAAGGCTTGTACTCTTCCCGAAGTCGGTCGATTACTGCCTTATCGCAGACGGTGTGTGATGCTCCGCTGTCCACGAGTGCTTGGAGGCGTCGTCCTTTGCAGATGACCTCGAGCACGAGGGGCGGGCGTTGCTTAGATTACCCAAAGATGGTTTCATTAATTGGATCATAGGGTACGTCCCAATATTCCGTACACACCTTTTTTTTGCTATCTGCTTGTGGATTAGCAGCTGGCCGAGGCTGCTTGGAGAAAGTCTCTCCCTCAGGACCCTGAGCTTTCTTGACTGTGTGAGTCGTTGATGCCGAACTTGCTGAGCTAGATGCATCTGGAGGAGGAGTTCGAGGTTTTTGCAGTTTCTTGTAGACCCCCAGCTTCCTCTTGAGCTGCTTCAGCTCCACCGACGTCTTCCCTGAGGAACGGGTAGTCGTTGTGGGCTGGTGTTGGGAGAGGACATTGACTCCGTGGAAAGGTCAGCTTCTTTCCACACTCCTTAATTTTGTCCCCAAGTTTTCCGGTACCTGTATGATCTCCACAAGTTTCTGATTCTTCTGGAGTCCCTCCGGAAATTTCTCCAACGCTCTAGCCCCTCGAGAATTATAAGTTTTCATTAAAGCATCTTTAACGAATCCTTATAATTTCTTGGGTCTTGTAGCAGTTTCCCCGTCTCGGCAGAGTCCTTTTTCGCGGACTTAGATTTTTTCTTGGCGATTTTCCCTGGCGAAGACTGGTCGTTGGGTGGAGATTTTTCCCCATCATTTCCTTCTGCTCGCGTCGAATCAGCGTCGTTGAAGTCGATTTTCCGAGAATTGCGCGGCCGCTTTTTGATCTTTTCTTTTTCACCAGCTAGATCCGCGATCACTGGCGAATTCCGTTTTTTGGCTTCTGATTGGCCGAAGGATTTCCGCCACTGTTGCGTGCCCGATACTCTGTGCGTGCGGCTTTCATTATGTTGCAGTCGAAGATTCGATAGTCCGGCACCCCGCAAAAATCACACGTGTCGTTGGTGTTTTTCGGATGTGACCGCTCGTCGAACCTGTCGATTTCCATCGGATCGGCGAACGTGGTGTGAGCCGAGCGGTCGCCCTGTCGTAAACTACCGACGTGTGCCCGTCGTGTCCCGGCGTTGACCATGTCGAATCGTTCCGCTGCCAATCGACGTCATCGTAGCTCACGTAGTTCGTCACTGCTACCTGTCGTTTGACTTGGGTCTTCAGCCCGGAGAGATATGAGTGCAATTTTTCCCCTTCGTGTAGGATTAAGGACGGAGTCTAGGTGTGCTTAGGAGCTAGAATTACTCAAAATATAAATCCGAAATTCTGGACAGAAAAGTCGTCTCCACAAGAAACGTTGTTGACAAAACACTAGCCGTTGGAATGTCGCGAAACTCGGGTATGCTGTAGCTACTAATCTCAGCTACCGCTCCCAATTCGAATCATGTTGATTGATGGAGTATTGGCGACGCTATGTCTTTCGACGCACAGGGGGGTATGTTGTAGGAGAAGAGCTTAACTCAATCTTAAACTTCAATCAAGGTTCAAGAATCTCACAAGGAATTAGTCTAGGCGACTATCGCCTCCGGCGCAGCGAAAAGTATTTAGAAAATACTTGTGCAAATAGCCTCAAGGGCCTTGCCTCATAATCTGATCTCAAAGTGGTTGCAAGTTGTCAATACACACAAGCATTCCACTAGTTCCAATGAGATACAAAGAACAAATGTTCAAACAGATTTATAGTGGAAGTACAAGCAATTTCGCGCTTCGTAACTGCCGTGTGCGCTGCGAGTAACTCGCGCGCCTCGTGTCATGCCGAGTCGCACACGCAATCGCGACTTTCTTGCTGAACACGCCGTCGGTCCGAAGTCCGAATGCTTGTTGAACACGCCCCGTCCGAAACCCAACTTTTGCCCCACGTCAATCTGTTTCTCACCACTTCCATTCCTTTCTTCCAGTCAACTCCTCCATCTCCTTTCTTTCCACCAATCTTCTCTCAACCTTCTCTCTTTCTTCTCCCCTTTCCGTACACCTCACGCTCACGCAATACCCGCTTCCTAGTTCCTTCTCCTCCCAAGTCCGCATTTCTCTCCTCGTCACCCCAATCACGAGTAGTCCGTTGTGGGTGGCGGAACCACTCCAACAACCTCCCCTGTGGTTCTGCCAACCACACCCTCTAAGTCACCTTCACACTCCCCTGCATGTCCTTCAAGGTACGTATCCCGACCTTCTCCTTGCAGTACTCAAAGTTGGCCCTTGGCAGCACCTTGGTCAAGAAATCAGCTGCCTGCTCCTCAGTGCGCACAAACTCGAACTTGAATTGCTGCTTCTCTAACTGCTCCCTCACCCAGTGATATTTCACATCCATGTGCTTAGTCCTCCCATGCCAGTTGTCGTTCTTCGCTAGTGCAATAGCCGATTGGGTATCGCTCTTGATGGTGATCAGGCCCTCCATGTTGATGTCCATCTCATTGAGTAAACGTCGCAGCCACACACCCTCTTGGCATGCATAGAACAATGCCATGTACTCGGCTTCGGCGCTTGATAGAGCAATATCGTCGAGTTTCTTCGCTTGCCACATGATGGCCGTCCCCCCAAGGAGGTAGACAAAGCCGTATGCCCCCCTCCTCGTCTCCTTGTCCGATGCATGTGAGGAATCAGCATATCCCATGAGCTCAAGGCTCTCTTCTCCTCCTTCAAACAGCAAGCCTTCATCCTTCCTTTGCACAAGGTAGGTGAGGGTCCTCTCCATCTCCTTCCATTTCCTCCCTTCGGTTTGGAGCACGTTTTGCCCCAAGAAACTTGCAACAGGCGATGTCAACTCGTGTGCATGACACGGGGTACATCACCGATCCCACCATGGATTGGTACGCCTTCAAGGCCCTCTCTTTGCTGCCCCATGTGTCCATCTCTTCTTCCACATCCACCTCTTTTCCCGCCAAGCTGCTGAGAGGTGTTACAATGAGTTTGGTTCCCAAATGGTCGCGAAAACGCTCCTTCAACCGATGAGAGTACTTCTTTTGGTAAAGAAGCAGCTTCCTCTCCTCTCGGTTCCACTCCAAGTTCATTCCAAGGAGGAGGGTTGCCCTTGGAATTTGGTTCACTTGGAAGGCGCTTGCAAGGTGCTTGCATACACCTTCCACCTCTGCTTCATGAGCTCCCGCCACGAGAATATCGTCCACATAGAGAAGGAGGAAGACTTTCTCCTTCCCTTCTCCCCTCCAATAGAATGCTCGGTCACTTTGGCTTTTCTCAAAGCCATCCTTCATCAAGTGCTCATCCATGGCCTTGTACCACTCACATGGGCTTTGCTTAAGGCCATAGAGTGCTTTGATGAGCTTGCACTTGCGGTTGGTGCCATCTTCACACCCGGGGGGCTGCTCCATGTAGATTTCCTCTTGCAACTTGCCGTAGAGGAAAGCATTCTTGACGTCGAGTTGCACTAAGTGATAGTCACGAGCGGCTACCACCTTGAGCAAGGTCCTTGCCATTGTAAGCTTGCTCACGGGTGCGTAGGTTTCAACATAATCCACTCCTTCCACTTCAGTGTAGCCCTTGGCAACGAGCCTTGCCTTGAAACGCTCGAGTTGACCCAAGTCTCCTGTTTTGATCTTGAAGATCCACCTCACTCCAACCGGCCTCCTCCCTTCTGGAAGTTTCACAAGTACCCAAATTCCCCTTTCCGCCAAGGTATCTAGCTCTTCTTGAATGGCTTTCCTCCACTCCTTGTGATATGGCCCCGAAAGTGCGTCTTCAATAGTGACCGGTTCATCGGGTAGATTGTACTTTGCACGTGTTGCCTTGGAAACTAATGCCGTTGCCGAGATGGTGAGGAGGAGGTGGGTGTGGATGTCCTTGAAGCATGTCATGATGGCGTTGGCATATTGAGGGCCAACCACGTTTGGATTTGGCTTCTTGATACGTCGTCCTCTCCCCATCCTCTCCTCCTCCGGTTCAGGTTCGGCTTTCTTTGGCGTTGACGTTGCCTCATTATCCGTCTCCTCTTCTTCCTCTTGTCCAATCAAGATGGCTCCTTCATTGAGAAGACCTTCAATCTCTTCCACCTCCTCATTATCCTTAGAGGTCATGAGCCTCCAAGGTCCACTTGAGTCCGTGGTACTCATTTCTCCCTCCATGGGCACATGCTCCTCCTCGGCTTCTTCAAATTCCACCTCATTGTTTTCAGCTCCCAAACACACATCCTTGTCCTTTGGTGTCTCGGAGTTCTCCACACTCTCCTTTGGATCCGGGTTTGAGACATCGTGCTCCCATGCTCCATGGAACACAACCTCCTCCGAATCGGTTTCAGCTCCAAGTCCTTCTATTTCGGCTTCGAAGAGTGATGTCTCGTTGATTGGGGACGTTGTGTGCACTCGGTTTACCGTGTTGTCGTCCTCCCTTCCATTCTTCCAAGTCATGTAGTTGACTTCTTCGTAGAAGACACCATCGCGTGTAGCCACCAACTTCCCTGTCTCCACATCACGCACCATCCATCCTTTGCTCATGGTAGATGGTCCCAAGTGCACACCCCATTTGGTCCTCGAGAGAAGCTTGTGATCGGGACCCGCTGGCTCACGGTATTGCACCATGCATCCCCACACCCTAAGGAACCCAAGGTTGGGCTTCCTTTTATAGAAGGCTTCATGGGGGGTGACGTCCGCCGCTAGCCCTTTAGTCGGCATCCGGTTCTTGAGCCAACAAGCCATCGCCACCGCATCTCCCCAATAGTCCAAGGTCAACCCACTCTCGGCAAGCATGCTCTTCATGCCCTCGAGTAGTGTGCGATTGACCCGCTCCGCAATGCTATTGTGTTGGGGTGTGTAGGGAATGGTGAGTTGGCGCCGGATCCCTTTTTCACGAAGGAAGGCATCGAATGCCTTGTTGACGAACTCTCCGCCTTTGTCGGTTCGAAGGACCTTCAGAAGCTTGCCACTTTGCCGCTCCGCTTCCGCTAGCCATTCCTTGAAGCACTCAAGGACTTGGGTCTTGTCCTTGATCTCCGAGACCCACGTGTACCTCGTGCCTATGTCGGTGAAGGTTACGAAGTACTTGCTCCCGTGCCGAGATGGAACCTTCATGGGTCCAGACACATCCGCCGCGACAATCTCCATCGCCTCATATGGCTCCACCTTAGCACCATGCTTTGGGTGAGGGACCTTCTTGTTCTTCCCCTCCACACATGAAGTGCACGTCGACACCTCCACGTCATTGCCTTCAACTAGCTCCACTCCCGTGACCATCTTCTTCTTGAAGAGTTCCTTGATCCGAGAAGAGCTTGCATGCGCCATCCTTCGATGCATGGTGTTGAGGTCGACCGATTTCGATTTTGCCGCTACCATGAGTATTTGTTGCTGCCACTCATGCCCATATGCTTCTTCCATCTTTGAAAGAAGCTCCTCCCTTGCTTTCTTCCCTTCCTCGGGTTCGTCAAGGTATGTAACCTTAGCTTCCGGTATTGGCTTTTCCATCACCCGCATCTCATACAAGCCTTGCTTGCGTTCTCCCTCGGCAAGCACCTTCCACTTGGGTCCAAACACCCAAAGCTTCCCATTGTTGCTGTAGGTCTTGCACCCACTCCCATCGAGTTGGGTTTGACTTATGAGGTTTAGGGAGAGCTTGCCGACGAAAAGTACGTTGTCCAATTTCAGCTCCCCAAACGGACTTTGTAGCACCATGTCGCCTTCCCCTTTCACCTCGAGTTGGCCATCATCACCGAGAAGTACGTGATGCACGGTAGACGTACGGAAGTTTTGTAGCCATGTCGCCCGGTTGGTCATGTGTTGCGTGCATCCGCTATCCATGAACCACGCCTTGCTTTGCACACCCTTAGCAAGGAGACACGCCGATGAGGCGCGGGCCACATTCGCCTTGTGTGCTCCGCCCATGATAGCGTCGTCCTCCTTTGCTTTCTCGGCTTCCACGACGTTGGTCTTGGCAAGAGTTGTTGTCTTGTCTTGCGACCGTGCTCCCCTATAGTTCTTGCCATTCAGGTTAGAATAGCAATCCATCGCCTTGTGCCCGTACTTGTTGCAATGGTTGCAAGTGCCGGGGAAGGTTCCCCGTCCGCGTTGACCTTCTCCACTCGTTCTGCCGCCATGTTGCATACTCCTCCCCTTGAAGTTCGGACTCTTGGGGTTGGAGAAACACTCGGCCGCCTTATGCCCTTTCTTTCCGCAATGAAAGCATGCACCCACCGGTTTTCCGGCTCCAACGGCATTGACAAGCGCTGGGTTTTCGCCAAAGAGCTCTTCCAAGAGCTTCCTTCTGTTCATGGTGTTGGTGCGGATTAGCTCCAATGATTGAAGCGTTTCCGCCAACTCCGTCAATGTCTTCGGTCGGCTACACGAGTCGTTGCCTTTGTGCGCCTCCCACCCGTCCGGAAGTCCACCGATGACGTAGCTTATCATTTGCTTCTCGGTCTCGGGTACGCCCATCGCCTTCAGCTCGTCTCCGTAGCTCTTGGCACGATTCACGTACTCCGTGATCGTTTCGTTGGGCTTCAAATGGAGTAGGATGAGCTTCTGACGGACGTTCGCCATGTTCGCCTCGGTCTTGCCCATGTAGAGCGAGTCCATGTGATCCCACCCGAGTTGTGCGGCGTTGACTTCATCGACGAAGTCGTCCATCCCGATGGGGATTCCATCCGCCACCGAGTTGCACAGTTGGAAGAGAGCGTGCTCGTTCTTCTCCTTGTACGCCGCCTTCTCCTTGTCCGAAGCCGTGTCGTCCGGTACTTCGGTAGCTTGGTCGTAGTATTTCCACAATCCAACCTCCTTAGCGCGCCGAATGAACTTAAGCCGCCACGTGCTATAGTTCACGCCAACAAATCGTTGCGCCTCGGGGAGATTGATGGTCGGCTTGGGCACCACTTGTGCCTTAGCCAAGGCTTCTTGGCTCTTGGCTAGAGCCTCGAGAAGACTTTTCAGCTCCGACTTTTCAATGCTCACGGTTGAGCTCGAACTCGCCTCATCCGTGCTGTTCCCCATGACTAAATGTTAGTACGCCTCCTCTAGTCGACTATCCTCTAGCCACGCCACGTATGATTATATCGACCGTGACAATAACGAGGCTCTGATACCAGTTCTAGGCGACTATCGCCTCCAGCGCAGCGAAAAGTATTTATTAAATACTTTCGCTGCGCGGAGGCGATAGTCGCCTAGAATTAGAGGAGCAAGAGAACGATTGGGATAGGAATAGAGGGATGAGAGAGGAGGTCCCAAGAGAGTCCCCAACCAAAGAACCCCGATAAGCACAAAGTTCCCTTCCCATAGGAACCTCAACTTTGACCTTTGTCCCTTCCCAACCAATCCATCCAAGCTGGCCACCCTTGCCAACCTAGTTTGGTTGTTCCCAACCAATTTGCAGCTGCTACAGTAGAGTGACGAATTTCCCCAACCCCAAAGGTCCCAACTCCAGATAGAGTCACACCACAACTTCACTTTATAACCGCTGCAATTGTAACGCAAGCTCATGAACTTTGAATCTTCATAGCTTTCACGTTCTTGCTCCGATTGAAGCGACTCTTGTTGCATCGGAAAGATCTTTTCAAGATCCATCATCACAAATACCTGCTCAAACAAAATAACACAGAACACATTCCCAAACTCCAGAACACACCACACAAAAAGTCTTGCACACGTTCAAACCACACATGCAAGTTGAAAACATGGGATGGGAGGCAGACAGAATGTGATAGCATATGATGACATCACACAACACTTCGATCAGGTCGGAAATGCGGTTATAAAATTTCTCCATTTGCTGCGTGTACTGGGCTACGATCCCAAACTGTCGATTGCGATGATTTTTTTCCTGGGCAAGGAAACCCAAATTTTTCGGCTCGAAGCGTTTCAGCGGGTCGGAGCGGAAATGCTGCCACGTGGCTTCGCCGTGGATGAAGGTGCTGTTCCCGCCGATCCACTCGAGTGCCGGTCCTCGTATCAGTGTTACCGCGAGTCGTACGCGTTTCCCTATTCAGCAGCGTCTCCCTGCCATCGAGACCCTCCAAACCCTTCGCCGCATTGCTAGCGACCCTGCCACCATAGCTTGTTTGTTATCCCTTCAGGGCCCAAAGGCAGGGGCGTGGGTCTCTGCGGTTCTAGTGCACGAGGATGTTACCTTTACAGCGACCGAGTGGGCTAGCTCTGCAGCTATGCACTTGTGTCTCCTTATTCAACAGTTGATGGTTGCGGGCAAGTGTGTCTGTGGGACGGGGTTCGTGGACCCGTTGGACCCGCACCACGCTCTTTGCTCCAAGCATCAAGATGCTCCCTCTTAGGTCGATGACGTAGTCAAGTTTGTGGCGGCCCGGATCGCTAAGAGCTCTGGTGGCGTGGTGACTATGGAGGATGACACGCTATTGCTGGGTAAGAAGGTGGACATGGTGGTTCGTCGACCGATGGAAGGAGAGGTGCACACGCTCCGAGGTGAGCATCGTGGATCCCATCTCGCTCTCTTCGCAGTAGCACGGCCTGCTCCGGCGGGTGGTGGGGTTCGCAGTTCGTGAACAGGAGAAGCCCAAGACGGCGGATTACAAGTGTAGTTGCAACGGCATCAAGGTGTGCAGTTTACTCCGCTCATTGTCGAGACGTGGGGTTGCCTTGGGGGAGGGTTTCGCCGGTGGCTGCACCAACAGGGGGATGTACACCTCCAGCTGGCGACGAGCAGGAAGGCGGGTGTTGGAAATGAAAAGACCTTCTCAGCTTCTACCGAGGTGGCTCTATAGGGGGCCCAGGCGCGGGTCATCTTGTTGCGTGCTTCATTTATTTGTGGAACTTGTGGTTTTTTGCCTTTCTTTTGTCTTTTCCCCTTTCCTTTGCCTTCCTTCCGAGATTATCGCCATGATAACATGTTCTGTAATCATTTGTGCGAAATTATTTCTGCAACCCAATTCCTTTTGTGTGGAAAAAATGATAGTTAATGTTGTTCTTTGGTGTTTGTTTTGTCATCCACTTTGTAAGGAATTAGTTATTTCTTACTGAGGCTTTGTACAGAGCGTACGACTTGAACAGTCCCGAATCAGTGATATGGTTCCAGAGTTTTCAGTTCGAGCCTTTTGGGCCTTCCCGGACCTCGCTTCGACACATTGAGGCCCTTCAACACTTTTCCCGAACCTTTCGATCCTACGTCCTGGATCGCCCTAGGTTTTCTATATATTGTATTCTCATTCACTCGTTCACTGTTTCGTCATTGCCCTCCGCGCTTCTCGGCTGTTCCATTCATAACATACTTGCTGTTTGTTTTGTTGTGGCTATGAAGCCTCTTTATATGAGACAACTTGCCAAATTTGGTACAGCGGGTATGCTCTAGGCTGTTCAAATTATATAAGTTATAATTTAATATAGGCTTGGTAGGTTGTTACTGAACCTTTCTGTAGGGGGTGCAAACCCCTCCTTGTACTCCCCTCTCTTCCTAATCCAACACTCTCTTTTCTCTCGACACTTTCCTCCCCTAACTAAACCTCTGGCCGCCATTTCATGGCGGCCTTTCTTCCTAGTTAAGCTAGCATTTAGACATGGTAACAGAGCAGGCCGTTTCCGGTCCTGCCTTCCACGCTTCCGCCTCGTCCTTGTCTTACGTCTCACTTCGTACCGTGCCGCTGATGGCGGCCTTTTGATTTCCTGCCGCCGTGGCGGCCTTGCCTTTCCGTGCCGCCGTGGCGACTTCTCTGAGATGCCGCGGCGGCTTAGTCGAGCTACAGTCGCACCTCCGCCTCGCCGCCGCGGCATCGACGTTGCGCTGTGGCGGCGTCTTTTGGCTGCCGTGGCGGCGTCATCGGGCGACAGCCGGCCGCGCATCCGTCGTTTGGCTGCCGTGGCGGCGTCATCGGGCGACAGCCGGCCGCGCATCGTCAATGGTGCCGCCGGACCTGCCGCCCGCCCTGCAGCCATCGGCGTGATTCTGGACTACGCCCCGCGCCCCTCTCCCCCCCCCCCCCTCCTTCCCCTGCTTCCCCCCCCTTCCTTGCTACAGCCAACGACTGCCTCATGCGGGCCCTCCCCACCGCCAAGGTGACTGGACATGCCGCCGAGAGGGCGGGGGCCGCTGCACCAGCCTCTGACGTTCATGCCGCCGCTGCCCGCAGCTGTTGCCGCGGGCCGGGCGCCGCCGCACGCCGCCGCCGCTGTCGTCACTGTCGCTGCTGCCGCCATTGCCGTACCAAGGGCCGTGGGAGCTGCCCACTTCCGGAGTCGTTGCGGCTCCTGCTGGAAATGGGGGTGCTGGGCTAGGGGGTGTGGGTGTGGGTGTGGGAGTGTGAGTGGGCTTGACACTACCAAGCCTACAGGGTGTGTTCAAATTATATAAGTTATAATTTAATATAGGCTTGGTAGGTTGTTATTGAACCTTTCTGTAGGGGGTACAAACCCCTCCTTGTACTCCCCTCTCTTCCTAATCCAATACTCTCTTTTCTCTCGACACTTTCCTCCCCTAACTAAACCTCTGGCCGCCATTTCATGGCGGCCTTTCTTCCTAGTTAAGCTAGCATTTAGACATAGGCTCCATATCCGCGACTCGCAAATAAGGACAACGACGAATAGGAGCGGTATGCAATGGGCAAACTGGATTATAGAGTAGCACGAGGGGTTTTATATGGGATGGCGTAGGCCGTTTTACTCGTTCAATTTACGGTGGGTGTTTTGGCGTATTGGTCGCTTGGGCCAGGTTACAAGCGATTTCGCCGCGTGTCATGTGAGTGCTCATGTGGCCTTTAACAAAACGCTCAGCGAATTTGTCGTCTGGTCAGAAACACTCGGACAAAAAAAAGTCACATCGTTCGCGACCTTCCCACAAGCAGCGCATGCTCAAAACACGCAAAAGAAATAAATAGGAAAACCCTTTTTGTGGTCTCACGAAAAGGGCTCAACGGAACGAAAATTTGACGACTTAATTGAGCGGTTTCATCAACCAACCATACGTTTTTACGAAAGCGAAAAAGACCCATTAAGAAAATCATTTTCGAAATGTGCAGTTTTTAAAGGTGATTAAGGGAATGAGTGTCGTGTTTTCCTATTCGGGACTGACTTGTTCGTGTTAGGCGGGAAGCTTGAATATTTACGTAATAGGTTCTAAAAAATGGAAAACGCCTCCGGGTTTCACAGCCTAAAATAGGTGAAAAAATTCCCGCCAAATCCGGGTTTCACAGCCTGTTCTGCCAAAAGTGACCCGTTCGAATCCGTGTTCGAACCGTATTTTTTGTAAATGTTCGTCGTCAGAATCCGAGTTCAACAAAAATCCAACCCGCTATTTTTCCGACATCCAGGTAGTTCCCCGAAAAAATACGCCCTGCTGGGAGCACATTTTGCCCGGGCGACACTTGAGTATTCGCTAAGTGCAAATTCATAGCTTCCTAACTTCCTACACACCTGAATTCTCTACTGAATTCGAGCTTCGATTTCGCGTGAAGTCGGATGGATAACCCAGCCGTGAGCCCAGATTGGGGCAGGTCAAGTGGGCTGCTCCTGGCTGGCTGGTCCTTGATTTGTTGCATTCACCTTGTCCTTTCCTAGTTGCCAAAGTGCCATGAAAGCAGGGCAATTTTCCGCTGGATTCCGTTTTCTCTGAAGAGATGACAAGACTGTGAGGTCGGCGATAGTGCCCGTGAGGAACTGCTGTTTCTACATTACTGTATCCGTGATTTGTGACAGCATAGCTAACGGCGTGTCCAGCGCGTACGTTTCGCGTACAACAGGGCAACATAGTGAACAGTGTTTTCAACCCATATGCGGATGTACACCATTTTGATGATACAAACTCGCGCGGTGTACCCCACCAGTACCCTTGCGCGGAAATCTAAAACGGGCGAAAACGTACAGATGCACGTCTGGTACAAGGGGTATGCTCTATGCTCCAAATCCGCGACTCGCAAATATGGACTACGACGAATAAGAGCGGTTCACTATGGGCAAAATGGATTATCGAGTAGCACGTACGGTTTTAGGTGGGGTGGCGTAGGCCGTTTTACTCTTTCTGTTCACGATGGGTGCCTTGGCGTATTGGCCCTTGGGCCAAGTTGCCAGCGATTTCGCCGCGTGTCAGGTGAGGGCTCATGTGGCTTCTTAAAAAACGTTCAGCGAATTTGTCGTCTGGTTAGAATTACCGCGGACAATAGAAGTAATACCTCGTTCTCAACCTTCCGCAAACAGCGCAGGCTCAAAACGCGCAAATCATATAATTTGAAAAACCCTTTTCGTGGTCTCACGAAAAGGGCTTAATGTTATAAAATTATGACGACTCGCCTGAGCGGTTTCGTTAACCAATCACACACTATCACGAAGGTAAAAAAAACCATTTAAGAAAAATATTTTTGAAATGTGCATTGGTTAATGATGATTGAGGGACCGCGGGTCGTGTTTTCATATTCGTGACGGACCTGTTCGTGTTACGCAAAAAACCCGGATAGTTACGTCATTGGTTATAAAATATGGAAAACGCATCAAATGTTCTTGACACGAGGATTAGAATAGGACCGTAATAATAATACAGAATGGATGGAAAGGGGGTACGGATTCATGCTCATGCCAGCTGGCTGTCGCCCCCTGGTCCGTCGTAATTACGTCTGATCGCCCTGGCAAGCGCGTATTGGCCGGGCAATTCCAAGCACAATTCACGAGGAATTCCCATGCTCGCACTCGCGGGTTGGTTGGCGACACTCGCATGCTGCGATCGCACCCAATTCGGGTGGCGCGACTCGATGGTCGGTGACATTATGCGGCTGTCGTGATTGGTCACAATGTCTTATTGCGCCTTTTTAGCGAAGTCAACAGAAGATGTATACCGTACAGACGGAGTACATCGTGGTGGATCTTATCAAATTCCGGACCTTGGAGTATTACATGGAGTAAAATGTCGTAGACCAAATGGCATACCCGCTGCAGGTCGCCCCGCCTCCGCACTGATTCGTAACCACAAAACGTTTTCGTCATGCACGAAAATCGCCTTGTGCGAACATCTTGACCGTAGGACGCCGATAGTTCTTGTTTAGTTGTGATTCGTGGCACGTGTCCAACCGGGACTCATTCGCGCAGTACACCAGCATCCTGGGTTTCGGGGGCACAGGATGCTACGTTGACGCCTAACGGTACAATCTTGTGGCGTCTTTGATGTACGTACCAGTCCTCAAATCCCCAAAATTGACATGCTGGACAGGCCCTGCTGGTGGGAAAGGTGATGTACAGAACAAATGCCTGTGACCCTGGCTCGCAATTGAAGGGTTTTTGCTCGAAAACTAAAAGAACAGGTTAACAGCGCGTCGAGAACATACAGATCAAGATATCCGTGATAGGTGCAATACAGAACGGTGCCCATTTGTTGACGAATGTCGGTGGGCACTCTGGACAAGAATTCAGGATTTCCCAAACTTCTCTGCTGGAGCCCTGAAGTTCTAAAAACTTTTTAGCCACCCAGCCTGGACGAGGTGGACCCTGATTTTGCTGGGCAACCACCCGACATCGAGCAGATTCATCTGGGCCAACCGAGCCTGTTCACGTTCACGCAGGATGGGGCCCGTACAGTATTCTGAACTGTACTGCCACAGTCTCAGACACGCAAAACCACGCTATTTTTCGAGGTGTAACAAAGTTCACATTTCTCGTTTTCAGTAACCCATGCAGCTCGGTTTGCTGCAGTTTGCTAAAGTTGCTGTGCGTTGCAGCTCTTTCGAGTACGGTACATATTTCAAACATTCCAAATTAAAAGTGCCCCCAAAGCAGTTCAGGAAAGGTGCTTTGCTCTCTACAGTCACTACAGCAAGCCTGTTCAAGAAAGAACGAAGCTGGACAGGCGGAGGGCAAGGCGGTCTTCAACAGCTGGGGGGTGCACTACACACACCACGCTCCAAACTTGAATGAGCATGGTGTGGTGTGTCTGCGTGGTGTGCCTTGTGTGTAACATATCGCCCTACGAACCGCTCCTCCTTGTGGGTGCCAAATGACATGGTCTGAAGGCGCCGCTGGACCGCCCGCAGCAGCGAGACATGTCTCCCTTTCACGCGCTCCGCAGTCGACTCCAGAACTCGCACAGCCAGGACTCGTTGTCGCTCTCCTGCGGCAAACGCGCGATTCAGAACCTAGTTTTCCGAGGTAAGGCCGCGCCAAGTCGGTAGAAGCCTTCTGCTGAGCAGAGGAGCAGCACGAGCATTGTGTTCAGGACGCCGAACACCCGATTTCCTGTCGAGCTCCGCGCAATAGCTGCTCGAGAGATCGGAGTCGCGTGCACCACGCGCTACTGTCATTTGGCTGTCAGGTTGTACTTTTGAATGTCCGTGAGTCACGCAGGGCGATCGCGTTAATCGATTACGGATAGTACTCACCCGCGCTGCTTGTCTATCTGCCCGCTCCGCAGGCCCTGTGTTCGCTGTGCTGCTCGCCCTATGGCTGCTCGCGGGCGTGTCGTTCGCCGCGTGGCTCTGCTACTCCACGCACGCGTCGTACCAGCGCGATCGCCGTCAACGCCTCGACACGTGGTGCTACGAGCGCGCAAAGCTGTTCGAGCAGCTCACGCTCACGACCATCAGCCAGATCCGAGTGAGCCCCGCAATGCACTGCACGCACGGTCGGGAATCCGCTTCTCAACGTGGCGCTGCATCACTTGGAAAGCCGGATTCAGCTGAATGTACACAGTGGATGACCCGCTGACTCGCCGCGAGTACCTCCGGCTCACCTCAGGGGTATCTTGGCATCTGCAGTCGTTCGTTGTCCGTTAATAATGTTTGCCCTCCTGCCCCGCCCTGACGTGCCGCGAAGAATGCGCGAGTAGTGCCATGGCGTGCATCCAGCCGTCGTCCCTGCCCTCCATCCCCACGCGTGGCAGACTCTCGCGGGGCTGGCGGCCGTGATGGGCAGGCCCAGGGGCCACGGCAACTGGACGTGGGACACGTGCCTCACGGAGGAGCGCTGGACCGCTCATCTCAACGGCACCAGCTACTCGCGACCAGGGAACACGGGCGCCATGGTGTGCCTCTATGTCACGGACCAAGAGCGGTGAGTGGTCGGGCGCACACGCGCAAGGGGCCCCACTCGTCCAGCATTTGTCACGGCAGCAGATAGCATGAATGGGCGCCCGTGTGAAGCTTCCGCGCTGCCACCTCGCATTGCTCAGCGCGCCCATCCTCCTTCCGTCTGCCTCCATCCGTGCCCGCCCTCCCCTGTGCCCCGCGCAGGCCCGCGTTTGAGCGGCAGTACGGTGGCCCCATTCTGGACTTCACGCTGGCGCGGCGGCAGCAGGCGGCGCTGTACTGCCCCAAGGTGCTGGAGATCCACGCGTACCGCGGGGTCATCCTGCTCGTCGACATCATGCAGCGCGCGCCCGACGAGATGGCCTTCCTCAGGGCCTCTGGAGACATCGTCTTCAGCCCCGTGGCGCCCATTGGCCCGCTCGCCCTCAACCTCACCGGCTTTGGTCGGTCGTCGACCAACTCCGAAACACAACCATATCTTCACTTCAACACGTCTATTTTCCCTCTCTCTCTCTCTTCAACGAATCCTCTTCCTTCTCCTCCCACTCGCGTGCGTGCGTCGTGCCCTGTGCAGCGGTGGGCGTGCCCATCTTGCAGCACGCGCTGCCGCCGGGCGGCAGTGAGCAGCAGGTGGGGGGCGCGGCGGTGGGCGCGGCGGGCGCCAACGTGGACCTGACGTCCATCGCCGCCAGCGTGCTGCACAAGGTCTTCACGCCAGGTCACACCGCCCTCCGCTCCCAATGCGCTTCACGCCCTATTGCCGATGCTTAGTGCCCTCTGCTCATTGAACGAGCCCAGTTGCTATCCCCGTTTGCCCTGCAGCTCCCCCTCCGCGTGCCGCTTTCGTTCCGCATACTTGATTTCTTCCTCAAGTGCTCTCTGTTTCTTCTCTTCGTGCACCGCATTTTTCTCCTTCCTTCCCCTGCTCTCTCGTTCCCTGCCGCTGCCACGGCCCCCCAGACCCCAGCATCACGTTTGAGGTGTACGACAGCACGAGTCCCAGGGGCATGGCCATGATCTACGGGCCGGGCCCGCAGCTGCTGTACTACAAGGACCGGGACATCCTGCCCCTCACTGACATCTCTCCGGACAATGTCACGCGCCCCTTGGAGCAGCACGCTGTGGTGCCGCTGGACCTGCTGGGGGGCCGCCTGCGGCGATATGAGGTGTGGTGCCGGTGAGTGCTGGGGCGCGGCGGGCTTACGCAGCGCGCGGCGTCCGTCGGGGCACGACACTCTGCTTGAACGGCGTGCCTCTTCATCACGTCGCTGTGGTGGTGCTTGTGTTGAACTGAAACACCCTAGCGGGCGATTGTGTCGTCCCTGGCGAGTGAGCCACGCCCTTGTGCAGCAGTGCAAGGGCAGCACGTGCGCACAGGTGTTGTTGACCCTGCCGGCAGTCGCGATTGCACTGCCATGTCATGGACCTTACAGTCCCGTGATTCGCGCCACTGCGCTGCCTCGTTCACTGTTCCAATGTGCCTCGTGCACGTCAATCAAATCCCATGTATTGCTTTCGCCTCACTCTCTATTTGTTCCTGCCCGCCCAGCTACGTCCAGCCGTCGAGTGCGTGGCTGTCGTGGGGCGTGCCGGTGCTGTGGACGGCGTTGGCGCTGGTGGTGACGGCGCTGATAGCGGGCATCGCGTGGCAGCAGCGCGTGGGGTACGTGCGCAGCCAGGAGGGCGTGGCAGCAGCGGACGTGCTGCGAGGGCAGGCGCGCGCAGCGGAGCAGTCCAAGAGCGCGTTCGTGGCGTCCATGTCGCACGAGCTGCGCACGCCCATGGTGGGCATCATGGGCATGCTCGATGCCCTCGCCGACATGGGCCTCTCCGCCGCCCAGCTGGCGGACGTGGGTGAGGCGTCCGTGGCAGCGCAGGAGACGGTGCGCCTGGTGAACCGCGTGCTGGACCTCTCCAAGCTCGAGGCCGGCCGCATGGCGCTCTCGTGCTCGCGCTTCTACCCGCGCGCGTGGCTCGAGAAGCTGGTGCTCCAGCACTATGGGCGCGCGCGCCACAAGGGGATCGAGAGTGAGTGCATGCGCTGGGGTGACAAGGCTGGGAGCGTGGAGAGAATGGTGAGGCTGTCTGTGCTGGGACTGTACGCAATGCGACACGCCTTGGCAGTAGGACTGGTGGGCGTGTTAGTATCATATGCCGCGTCGTTTCTTCTTCCTTCCATTCGTCTCAACGTCCAGTTGTCACCCCGCTTGTGTTGCCGCAGTGGGTGCCATGGTGGATACGAGTGTGCCTGCGGTGCTGGACATGGACACCATGAGACTCACTCAGGCGCTCAATGAGCTCATAGGTGAGACCAACATACACCACTCCACTCCCCCCTTCACCCCTCACCCCCTAACCCACCAGCTTCCACTTCCCTCTCCCCTCTCCTCTCCCCCCTCCCCCTCACCTCTTTCCGCCCCCCTCCCCTCTCCCCTTCCCCCTCTCCCCTTTCCCCTCCCCCCTTCCCTCTCCCCTTCCCCCTCTCCCCTTTTCCCTCCCCCCTCTCCCCTCCCCTCCCTCCTCTCCCTTCCCCTCTCCCCCTTCCCCCCCCCCCGCTACCTCTCTGTCCCCCTTCCCCCCGCCCCTCCCCCAATCGTCCCCTTCCCTCCCCCTGCTAGCTCCTTTTCCCCCCCTCCCTTGTAAGAGGGTTTAGGAGGAGATAGGGAAACTCTGAATGAGGTTCTGCTCAAGTCTTGGAATAGTGGATTGCGCATTCATCTGGCTGCGGTTGACACTTTGTGTGACACCCAACCCAGTAAGGCAGTGCTACACGGGAATCTGTGCCCAAGTAAAAGGTTGAATGCCGCCGATGTCTAAGTAAGTAGCCACGCCCCCAGTGACTTGTGGAGAGGTGAGCGAGATTGAAATCGTAGACCGCAGTGCACGTTGAAGGAACTCGCACGAGAGGAATTGGTGCACGTCAATGTGGTTTGTACTGCTGTGACAGACCACATCGTGAAGGTGACTGGGAGTTTCGCTGCCACACCACTGGTCCGTACACGCCCAGGAGGTTCAATGACCTTCCCTCCCATACCCCCCTCTTCCCACGGCCACCCCTCCAGACAACGCCCTGTGCTACACCACGCGGGGCCACGTGCTGCTGCGTGCGTGCGTGTGCGCGGCTCAAACGGCCCTCGAGGACGCCGTGCGCCACCTCAGTGAGTGGCCCTCTCTTTGCGGAACATGGATGGATTGCCGTCTTCCCTGCTTTGACTCTCTCAAACCCGCCTCAATGCTTGCCCAATTCTGGCACTCTCCTCCCATTGTGCTTTCTCGTTTCGATTTCTTGCTTCCATCCCATCCTTCTATCCCTCCCTGCCTCACCGTTCCGTTTCTCACAGCACTGCCTGTCCATCTGTCTTGGCCCTCGCTTGCGCAGATGCATCAGATGCCCCGCGTCAGCCCCCTCCTCCTCCGAGGCCCTCCTTGTCTTGGCTGTCATGCGTGGCCGCTCAGCCAGCGCTGCTGTTCGGCAGAGCTGTTGGGACGTGGTGGGAGGAGCAGGGGGCAGGGGATGAGAGCGACGGAGGTGAGGACCGGCCAGTGGCAGGGGATGCAGAGGCGGGCGCTGCAGCGCAGGGCGAGGAGGAGCGGGCGAGAGAGTGCGGTGGTGGTGGGTGGCGCAGCAGCGAGGGCATGCAGCTGGTGGTGGCGTGTGAAGACACGGGGTGTGGCTTCCAAGCGACGTGGGAGGACCTCTCACACTTTCAGGTGACACACAAAGGACGTGTCACTGCTGACAGGGCGTGGTCATTGCAGGGAGAAGAGACGCCTCTGAGGGTCGCGTGCGGGCTGAGTGCGAGGCTGGAGGATGGGGAGGGCAACAACGCGACCCTCGTCCCGCAACCACACCCAAGGTGCAAAAAGAGGGCCGTTTTTTTTTTTTTTTCTCATATAGTACGGTATCGTATTTTTCGGTCGTATGAAATGGTTAAAAACGGTCCGAAGCTGCTTTTTTTTACTGGTGCAAAAAAACGCCCGTATTTTTCATACAAAACAGACCGTATTTTTCGGAAACCGTATTTTTGAACCTTGCCCACACCACTAGTCTGGACCTCAACCTCACATTTGCCCACGCCACAAGGGATGGCGAAATCTAGCGAAGCCAAGTGAGGGTTGTGAGGACCATTCAATTCGAGTGGTCAGGTGACGAGAACCCAACATGCCTGGGCAAATCGTAAAAGACCATCACGGACCGATGCTAGAGAGGGTTGGATTGGAGGGCAGAATCACAAGGTGCACTTTGTGAATGATTTGGTGAGGCAACCCTAGCATCTCCTGCTGTGAGGAGTGAAACTGGGTGCAGCGCGACATGTGATGCCCACACGCAGCTGCGCTCATATGCACAGCACTTGGAATTCCAGAGATACCAGAACCTTACCACACATGTACAAGAGTGGGTCTGGTTGTGTGAGGGCGAAGCATAAAATGTGGTATAGTCTGGCCATAGGAGAGGTGGTGTGCTCCTTTGGCATGCAGGTGGATGCACGTGATGCTTCATTCGACCTCGTGTGTGCCTGTTTCTGTGCCTGCGCGTGGTCACTGCAGGGCCGATCGGAGAGCGGGGGAGCAGGGCTGGGTCTTGTGCTCGTGCACCAGCTGGTAAGCGTGCTCTCCTCTCTCGCTCTTGCCCTCTTCCACAAGCACCACTCGCCACAGCCTCTGCGCGCCTGCCACCACATGGAAGCAGCACGTCCCTTGCCGCGCCACGGTTGGTCATGGGAACCTGAGGGACACCTTAGCCTTGCTGCACTCCATTTCCTCATTGCCAGTGACTAGGCCACAGTTTCACTCCTATAACCCCCCAAATACCGAGATTTACCAACTCAAGCGGGCAGTAAGAAATGGCACCCCCCATCTACCATGTCGCCCTGTGTGCTGTTTTCTCCAGGTGTCCCTCATGGGCGGCCGTGTGGCCTGCCTGTCCCGCCCCGGCGCCGGCTCCACCGTGGCCTTCTCCGTGCCCTTCTCCCTCCGCCCACATTCTCCCTGCTCCCCCACTGCCCACGCCGACCCTCCCCCTCACGAGGAGGGCGAGGCGGAGGAGAGAGAGGAGGATGGGACAGACGAGGACGAGGAGAGGGCAGGGCAGACACGGGGATGTGGTGCCATTTTGGGGGGTTGGGTGGCGAAGGGGGTGCGAGGGTGCAGGGGCAGGGCGAGGCGGGGTATGCAAGTGCAGCGGTGTGGAGCGCAGGGCATGCGAGAGAAGGAGCCATGGGGGGAGGAGGAGGCGGTGGCGGGTGTGCGGTGTGCGAGTGGCATTGAGGGAGTGGCTGTTGCCGTGGTGGGGGCGCATGGAGACACAAGGGAGGTGAGGCTGCTGGGGGGTGCGGAGGGCTGTGCGGGTTGCATTCGAGGCCGGGATGAGAATGCTGGTCCGCGGGTGAATGCAAACGTCTTGTGGTGCTTTCAATAGAGTGTCACCCGTTCACTTCAGACACCCACTCTCTTCCTCTGTGACTCGGTACTTGCTCTTACCTCTTTGAAGCGCCGCCAAGAATCCTTTCACATGTTAGCACCATTTGCTACCTCTGTTCTCCTCCTTCCCCTTCTTCCAACCTCTGTTGCCCCTTCCCCCTCAGCTCACGGCGCGCATGCTGTCGGGCCTGGGAGCGCGCGTGCGCTTGCTGCCGCACGCACTGCGCCTGCCAGCAGCCTCTGCAGCATGTGGCGGGGAGGAGGAGGCGGGCGGGCTGGCAGGCTGTGGTGGGCCGTCAGACAGGGCGCAGGAGGGAATGGGGGACTGCAGTGAGGCTGCGTGCAGAGAGAGTGGGTCAAGCAGACACAAGGGAGGTGGAACCAGGGGGGCGGAGTTGGAGGGAGGGGGAGAGGGGTATGGGGAGGGGAGGGGGCGAGAGTGGTTGAGAGGGAGTATGGCATGTGTGGTGGTGGTGGAGGAGGAGGATGTGTGGCGGCAGCATGGTGGGGGAGCAGCATGCGTCGTGCCCTCCACCAGCGACCATGGCACCGGTGGGGGTGATCATTGCTGTGCTGGGGACGCCCAGCACGGTGCGCTGGGGGGTGTTGGCAGAAGGGCGGGTGTGGTTGCGCTGGTGGCGGCAGAGGCAGCGGCATGGCAGGCGGCCGTGGGGTTGGCAAGGCACAGCATGGCAGGCATGACAGGCCCGGCAGGGGGGGGGGAGGGGATGGGCCGGGACGGAGTGGCACACAGGGAAGGGGGAGGACAGGAGGAAGTGGGAGGAGGGGGCGGAGGGGCAGGGAGAGGAGGGACGGGAAGGGTGGAGGGTGGCGAGGCAGGTGGCAAGGAGGGTCCGGCAGAGAGTGGGCAACATGGGGTGGAGGGGCAGAGGGGGAGGCGGTGGTGTGAAGGGGATGGAGGAGGGGAGAGTGGCGTGGACGAAGGCATGCTGGCGGGAAGGGCCAGGCGTGCTGGTGCCTCCGATGTGTGTTTGGGGGTGGGAAAGGAACACATAGAGTGGTGCACGGAGGGGCGTGGCGAGGGTAGAGGGTCATCGCCCACGGTGGGAGGCGGAAGAGAGGCGTCACAGCCGTGCTGCAGGGACGAGGTGGCGGGGATTGTCATTCTCGCTGTTTCCAAGGGGGACGAGGATACAGGGATGGAGGAGAGCAGCAGTGCACGAGGGGGGAGGGCGGAGGAGGAGCAGTGTGCTGATGTGGGGGGAGCAGTTGGTGGAACGAGGGCGTCATCTGCCCCTCCCTCTCCCCCCGCTTGCCCCTCGTCACCGCTCACTGCCTCTGTGCCTGCCTCTGCTGCCCCTCCTCGTGTGGTTGTGTGCCACCGCCCCCTGCTCTCTCACCGCCTGTGCCACGCCATTCAGGTGACCTTCTCTTGCCTCGCAAGTGGGGCCCTCTTTCCGTAGCGTGTGAGTGAGGCCTCTAACCCCTCACCCGAATGTATCGCGCTTCACAAGGTCCATATGCTGGTGTCAAGGCCCCATGGGCAAGCCTCTGCTGCTTTGTTGCTCGTGGCACTCCCCACGGTATTGTGTTCCTGCACTCGCCGTGCAGCCCCCCCTCCCCATGCGTATCGTCCTCCCATCCTTCCCCACTGCAGCTCGCAGCATTTGGGCTGGACTACAAGGACCCGTCCGATGGCAGTGCACGGTGTGAGAGGCACGGCAGTCCTGATAGTGCGTGGCGCACAGAGCAGAGCGGGCAGCAGGACGGCAGAGAGGGGGGCTGCGAAGAGGTGCATGCATCACAGTGCTGGTGCATGGAGAGGAGTGGCCAGCAGCAGCAGTGTTCCAGTGGCGCTGGGATGGTGGCTGATGCGGGGGTTGGAATGGGTGGGCGGGACGACATCGAGCCGGGTTGGATGAGCGAGTGTGATAGACGACCATAGTGTGCGCCATGCGGTGAGGAGTGTGAGCGTGCACGTTGGGGCCATGGCAGGAGGAACGGACTGTTCCAGCACCACAAGAAGGCACAGCAGCAGCGGCGCAGAAGCAGCGGCGGCGGCAACTGCAGCGGCATTGGCAGCAGCAGGGGTGCTGCAGGGGCGGCGCATTCTGGTGGTGGATGACACGGCGGTGAACCTGCTGGTGGCGCGCCGCACGCTCACTCGCTGCGGCGCCACCGTCACCACTGCAGGCAGCGGGGAGGACGCCGTGCGGCGAGTGGCGGCGGCTCTGAGTGCGGCAGGGGATGCGAGGGGAGGTGATGAGGGTGGTGCGTTGGACGTGGTGCTCATGGACCTGCACATGCCAGGCATGGACGGGTGAGTCATGCCGCGCAAAGGCGGTGCCACCACAGAGGTGAATGACTATCTTTTACGTGTCCCCGATATTCAATGCCTTGCCCAGCCTCCTGCCTCGTTCTCCTCCGCCCGCCTCACAATGCCCCGCAAATCATTAAAGCCAGCATATGGCGCTGCACTTTCTAATGTCTTCACATGGAAAGGAGGTTACCCCGTAGAGTGGGTTGGGAGGCCTGAGTCTCGCCCTAACAGTGAAAACATCAGAAGCACACGTTGTACCATCTGTGTACTCTTTGCACTGCTGTTCTCTATTGACCCCCCTCCCCACACCCCAATTCTGTTGGCCCCCTTGCCCCCCAACCAATTTCGGATCTCACTGGTTGCTGAGAAGTGCAACCAACCTACCAAACCCCCTTGTAACCCTCGCCAAGGCTAGCCAGCCAAAAGTCTGGTGTGAGAATTGTGCCTCGTTCCTAGATGTAGAGCGCAGTTGTGATCTCTTGTGCGTCTGGTGTGGTCCCCCTCCCCCAGGTTCATGGCGACAGAGGCCATACGAGAGTGTGAGAAAGCCGTAGCTCGTGGGGCCGCTGCATCAGAAGCAGCAACGGAAGTCGCACAAACGGGCATGGAGGTTACCGTGCTCCCACGACTGCCCATAGTGGCTCTCACAGCTGATGTGGATGAAGCCATTGCACAGCACTGTCTTGCCAACGGCTTTGATGGCATATTGCAGAAGCCCATCGACCCCAGGCTGCTTTCCCATCGACTCCTGCAGATCGAACAGCCTCGCTGCTTGGGCCTGTTGCAAACCGATTCACACTCAATCCAATAATTGCTTGACAGTGCAGATTTAGGTTTCCCGTCCAGATGCAGAACTGCCACACATGGCTATTTTCCCACAAATCTGTCATTTCGCCTCCTCTTGCTTTCCTTGCCAGTGGACAGTTTCATTCAGCACTGGGCATGCTCGGCTAAAGGCCGCCTCTCAAAAATCAGCGATTGAGAGAGCTTGCTTTCTTGTCCTTTGCATTAGGCATTGTTTGTCAACTTATACATATATGTGTATGGTGAAGTAATAGGCTACATAGGTGTATGTTCTTAGTGTCGTGGCACTGGGATAACCATGCTTAGCTAAAGGCCGCCTCTAAAAAATTAGTGATTGAGAAAGCTTGCTTTCTTGCCCTTTGCAATAGGCATCGTATGTAGAAGTTTTAGGCTATATAAGTGTGTGCTCTTAGGAGGTACAACTCCAACCCTATATCTCCCTTGTTCTCACCTGTTCTAGTTTTTCTCGTATTCTAACATTGTATCATGAGTAGGTTAGGTCCGCCCACCCGCTTCCGCCCCTTGCCCTAGCCTACCGCCACGCCGGCCCCTAGCGTACCACCGGCCCCTTGCGCACCTCGTCGGCCCCTAGCGTGCCTGCCGCCCATTCAGCGCCGCGCCGGCCTCTCGCTTACCCCGCCGGCCCCTCGCGCCTAGCTGGGCCCATGCGCCTAGGTTATCATTGTCTGCGTATTCTAACATTGTATCATGAGTAGGTTAGGTCCGCCCACCCACTTCCGCCCCTCGCCCTAGCCTACCGCCACGCCGGCCCCTAGCCTACCGCCGGCCCCTTGCGCACCTCGTCGGCCCCTAGCGTGCCTGCCGCCCATTCAGCGCCGCGCCGGCCTCTCGCTTACCCCGCCTGCCCCTCGCGCCTAGCCGGGCCCATGCGCCTAGCCGGCCCCTAGCGTACCTGCCAGCCCCTAGCGCCCAGCCGGCCCCTAGCGCACCTCGCCGGCCCCTAGCGCACCTCGCCGGCCCCTCGTGCTCCTCGACGGCCCCTCGCGTGCCTGCCGTTCCTTAAGTGCCGCGCCGGCCCCTCGCATCCCCCACCGGCCCCTAGCACACCGTGCCGGCCCCTTAGCGCCCCGTCCGCCCCTCGTGCCTAGCCGTCCCCTCGCACGCTCGTCGGCCCCTCACGCGCCTTGCTGGCCCCTCACGCGCCCGCCATCACCCCCGTGCGCGCTGGCCCCTTCGCGCCTCTCCGGCCCATAGGGCCTCGCCGGCCACTTAGCACCTCGTCAGCCCTAGCGCTCCGCCGACCCCTTGCGCCCTGCCTGCTCTGTGCGCCGGGGGCCCTGCGCGCGTCGGGCCCTCATCGGCCTTCCGCCTGGTCTTCTAGCTGGAGAGTCCTGCCGCTGTACCGCCGTGTCGCTGAGTACCTGTGCCGCTGTGTCGCCGTGCTGCTGTGCTGCCGTGACGCTGTGCCGCTGAGGTTGCACGATGGCGGACGCGGAGGGGCACGCGATCGACTTCGCCACCTGGCTTGTCGATCCCGCCGGCACCTGCCACTTCGAAGGGTGGCAAACCACTCACACGGCACTCTGAGGGTTGGCAAATCACTCGCACGCCACTCAGGGGGGTTGCCAAACCACTCGCACGCCACTCTTGAGGGGTGGCAAACCACTTGCACGCCACTCGGAGGGGTGGCAAATCACTCCCACGCCTCTCTCAAGGGGTGGTAAATCACATTCATGCCACTCCCGGGGGTTGACAAACCGATCGCACGCCACTCTCGTGGGTGGCAATCCAGTCGCACCTTACTCTCGCAGAGTGGCAAACCACTCGCACTCCATTTTGGGTTGTGGTAAACCACTCGCACACCACTCTAGGGGATGACAAACCACTCGCACTCCACCCTCAGGGAGTGGCAAACCACACGCACGCCACTCTGGGAGGTGGCAAACCACTCGCACGCCACTCTGGAGGTGGCAAACCACTCGCACGCCACTTTCGGGGGATGGCAAACCAGTCGCATACAACTCTGGGGGGTGGCAAACTAGTCTCAAGCCATTATGGGGTGGTGGCAAGCCACTCGCACGCCACTCTTGAGGGGTGGGGAACCACTCGCATGTCACTTTGGGGGGTGGCAAACCACTCGCATGCCACTCACGGGGGTGGCAAACCACTTGCACGCCACTCTCGAGGGTGGCAAACCACACACACGCCACTCTAGGGGTGGCAAACCACTCGCACGCCACTATCGGGGGATGGCAAACCACTAGCAAGCCATTATGGGGGGGTGGCAAGCCACTCGCACACCACTCTCGAGGGGTTTCGAACCACTCGCATGCCATACTGGGGGGTGGCAAACCAGCCGCAGGCCACTATCGGGGGGTAGTAAATCACTCGCACGCCACTCCTGGGGGGTGGCAAACCCCTCGCACGCAACTCTCGGGGGGTGGCAAACCACTCGAACGCCACTGAAAGGGGTGGCAAACCACCGCCACACCACACTCACGGGGTGGCAAACCACTCCCACGCCACTGTCGGGGGTTGGCAAACCACTCGCACACCACTCCTGGGGGGTGGCAAACAACTCGCACGCCACTCTCGGGGGTGGCAAACCACTCGCACGCCACTCTCAGTGGGTGGCAAACCACTTGCATGCCACTCTTGGAGGTGGCAAACCACTCGTGCGGCACTCTTGGGGGATGGCAAACGACTCGCATGCCACTCTGGTGGATGACAAACCACTAGCAAGCCATTATGGGGGGGTGGCAAGCCACTCCCACGCCACTATCGGGGGATGGAGAACCAACCGCATGCCACTTCGGGGGGTGGCAAACCACTTGCACGCCACTTTCGGGGGTGGCAAACCACTCGCATGCTACTCTTGGGGGGTTGGCAAACCACTCGCACGCCTATCTCGGGGGGTGCCAAACCAATACACGTCACTCCGGAGGGTTACAAACCACGCGCACGCCACTCGCGAAGGTGGAAAACCACTCGCACGCAACTCTCGGGGGGTTGCAAACCACTCCCATGGCACTATCGGGGGGTGGCAAACCCTCGCACACCACTCTCAGGGAAGGCAAACCACTTGCACACTGCTATGGGGAAGTGGCAAACCACTCCCACGCCACTTTGGGGAGTGGCAAACCACTCACACGCCTCTCTCGTGAGCTGGTAAACCTCTTATACGATACTCGGGAGGGTTGCAAACAACGCGCACGTCACTCTCTGGTTCTGCAAACCTGTCGCACGGAACTCTCTGGGGGTGGCAAACCACTCGCACACGAATCTCGAGGGTGGCAAACAGTTATAATCACAGTAGGCTCAGATGTGCCTAAAATGAGAGAAATTGTGCACAGTCAGAATTCCGTCAGACAGCTTCAAATATTGATGCCGAACTGATCTGTGCCTCAAACGATGATCTGTAAATTGGATCTGGAGCGTGTTGCTGTTGTCTATCTGCAACAAGTTGAATCATAGAATTCCATAAAGATTTCACGACGCTATGGCAGTTTGACAGGCAAGAGGTATAGCAGCCACTATAGTCTTGGAAGTACAAACTTGGCAAGAAGAGTTCGAGATGGAGATGATTCCCAGCCTCTACATACCCCAAGAGCCGAGGTCTAGGTTAGTGGTACACCACCACAGAGTCCCCAACCATGAAGAGTCTCGAAACAAACCCTCCAAGGGGCTACACCAAGTGAAATGTAACACTAGGCGAAGTAGCGTTACTATTTTCACAATGTAATATTTATCCGTGTCCCTTGGGCTTGAAATCTTGAGCTCTTGGTCTTGGTTCTGCAAGATAAATTCTTCTTGAGTTGATGGGGGCTTGCTGCACACACCTGCGACGTGATGGACACTTCACACTCGACAAAATAGAAAAACACATGTGACACGCACACGACGACTTGACAAATGAGTTGTGAAAACTCGCTAATGTCTTGAACGACACAAACCACATTGTGATACACCATTCAAACACACACACAAGCACTAGATAGCAATGACATAGACTCACAAATCATTCCATGCCATGCATGCACACACACAAACAAGGACGACAAGCCGGGTGCAAGCCATAGTATTGCACCAACAAACTCCCCCTCGGATTGTTGGCCTTAGAATCTGCTCCCCTTAGTTCAGAGCCATCCCAGCAAGCTTGCAACACTTCCAATGCTGCTGCTCAACCAGCCTCTTGGTCATCATATCAGCAGGCTGTGCCGTCGTCTTCACGTAGTGCAACTCCACTTCACCCGAGGTTACTATGCGCCTCACCCAATGCCACTTTACCTTCATGTGCTTGGTAAGGCCATGAAGAACCGGGTTCTTAGCCAATGCAATAGCATCCTGGCTATCACAATAGAGTGGGGTAGGTCCTTGCTGCTCCTCCCCCAATTCAGCTAGCAAACCCCGCTGCCACACAACCTCTCTTATGGCACGGAAGAGTGCCATGTACTCGGACTCCACCGAGCTCAATGCTTGGTCCACTTGCTGCTTGCTCTCCCAAGCTGTTGGGCCTCCACCAACACAGCAGATGAAGCCTCCCACACTTGTCATATCCTTTGGTTCTGATGCCCAAGATGCATCAGAGAAGGCGGTGAGAAAGAGCCTCCCGGATTCGACTCCATCCGCACCCTTTTGACGCCTTTGTGCCGCCGCGGAGTATTGCAGTCCAACAGTTGCTGTTTGGCCAAGGTACTTGGCCACCCTCTCTCCAGCTGCTACCTGCTCTTCATTAGGGCATTGGACAACCCTAGCCAGCTGCCCAGTAGCAAAGGCTGCATCCGGCCTTGTATGAACAGCCGCATACATGAGGCTGCCCACCAAGGAGTGAAAACGCCGCCTCTCCTCTTCACCAACACTTTCCTCTGCTGGTCCTTTCACACACTTGAACCCCGAGGGAAGAGGAGTAGCCACATGACCTTCACCTTTTCCAAAGTTTGCAGCCAAGGCCTCCAAGTACTTCTTTTGATGCACTCGCATCAACCGCTTCTCTACATCTCGCTCAATGTGAAGCCCAATGTAGTAGTTGACGTCACCAAGGGTCTTGCACTTGAACTTGTTATGAAGCTTCAGCATCACCTCCTTCACAAGGTCAGAGGAGGGTGAGAATATGAGGATGTCATCCACATAAACCACCATGAAGCTCCTCTGCTCCCCCTCGCCAAGCATGAACAAGGATTGATCGGCCGTTGAGGGAGTGAAGCCGATCGCCTCCAAGACTTCCCGCAGCTTGATGTACCATTGCTTAGGGGCTTGCTTGAGGCCATAGAGTGCTTTCTTCAGCATTCAAACTCTGCCACTCCCATCATTGTACCCCTCTGGCTGCTCCATGTAAGTCTCTTCCTCCAAAACGCCGTTGAGGAAGGCCGTTACTATATCCATTTGCTTCACCACCCATCCTTTGATGGCCGCCGCGGCGAAGAGGGTTCGAAGGGTTGTACCTTTCACCACAGGGGCATACACTTCAT